GATTACTGGTGACGAAAGGTGGATATTTTATAACAAGCATAATCGGAAAAAACCGGACATGAAGCAAAACGAACGAATGATGGTACTGTTAATTTGGTGGGATTATAAAGGATTTCTGTACTTTGAACTTTTCCCAGAAACCAAAAGGATTACTCCAATCGCGTACGTTGAACATGTCGCCAAACTGATAGATGCAGTTCAAGAAAAGCGGTCGGAATTGGGAAAACAACAACGTGTTGTTTTCCAGCATGATAATGCAAAGTTCTACTCATCTTTGGTCACTCGCCTAAAATTATTGGAACTAGATTGGGAAGTGTTGCCACATCAACCATTTAACCCTGACTTTGCGCCTACAAATTACCATTTATCGCGTTCCTTGCAGGACTCCTTAAATGATAAAAGTTTTAATGCCGTTGCTGATTTAAACTCGTATTTAATTCAGTTTTTTGCTAACAAAACTCAGGAGTTTTATGAACATGGAATTATGACACTGCCTGAAAGATGACGAAAGGTCATCGAGAACAACGGACAATTGCTGATTGATTAAAGTTATATTTTTAAGCAAAAATTTTGAATTTTCCTTCTTATTTAAAGTGATCTTGATAGAATCGACTATTACAATTGTATCACTCGTCTCTTTTAATTAACCAACCGTTTAGTAAACCATCGTTTAAAGCGTTTAGTAAAACCATCTCACTTTGGCAAAGATCGTACGAGTCCCGGGAAATATTCTCTCACAAAAGTATACATAAAATGTCTACTAAAGATGGCCACCTGATCATTTTAATCGCTCTACTGGTTAAATAATTAAAATCTCATCTCTACAAATCTATAAATTAAACTAGTACCACTAAATAATACAGCTAGTACCATTTGATAAGAAAAAAAAACCCTGTTATATGTATCTTACATGAAAAACAATTCAGAGCAATAAGCAATGGGCAAATTATTATATTATAATATGCTACATTAGATTATATACGTATTTAGAATAACAATAAGATTGGAATTCGGAATACGTACGCATATATAATATACACAACATGATATTATTATTTGAATTATATATGATTATTTTCGAATAACGAGTGTTTCTAGTTCTAAATAAAATTGGAAGAATATATAAATTATTATGAAATGTGTTACAGTAGAAAATAGCAAAGATATAAATAATATTCTCAAATATCCAAATTTCTACTTTTGAATTTTTTAGCTACTTTTAAATGTCATTTATTTATTTCCTGTACATTACTATACAGATTATCATATAGAAAGAAATTTATTCAAAATATGTAAACTGATGTAAGGTACATATAATATAATTTGGACTTTCCATTTCCGTTCGTTTCATTGTTCAGTTAAGGTTTTAAGAGAGATAAATGGGTCCACAATCCACTTGTTTCAGTTTTCACACTGGCAGCGCACGTGGGAATTCCTCGTGATAGTAAAAACAGGAAGGTTAATAGACACGAGTGCTATCGACCTAGTCGGCCAACGGTTATAACAGCATTTTAAAGTACAGCAAACCATGTCGTGGCTTTTTGGGTATCGTAATGCACAACCGCAAGACTTTTCGCAATTTGTACAACCACCGGCATCCGATGGGGCTGGAGGCGGAGATGATCGTGCACCACCGCCTAGAATTTCTCAAATGGAACCGTATCGATTTGACTCGAGTGCTTTAGAAAGAGCAGCAACAGCTGCCAAGGAACTCGAAAAATCTTGTATGATCGGTTACTTTCATTTTTTCTTTCAATTAAATATTGTTACGCGAAGTTACGTAAGCAAACAACGATTTACTAGGTTAAGGACCTCATGTTCCGTATAACATGATACTCCGATAATAGTCTAATTCCATGATGATGCAACGATTCGTTATCGAATACCGTCTTCAGAAATTGTTTTCATCAATGAAAATAGTTATGAAGCGGTAAATTTTTACGCAACTCGCAATACTTTTATTAATAATTTTTCATTTCTCAGTCATTCTATAATTTCTTTCCTTTGCTTTTCTTATTTTTCTCATAATTACGTTACATTGATGCGTAAAATAGAGAATTTTGTAATGTAAGTTATTTGAGCTTTAGCATTTTATCTAGCGTATCTCAAGCGAAATTCTTATTCTCTTCTTTTTTTTATAGTGCATGCCAAAGAGGCTTTAGAGCTATCTAAAATGCAAGAAACTACTAAACAGATGGAAAGACAAGCAGAAGTAAAAAAATATGAAGCTAGTATAGAGCAAATGAAAGCAGAACAAAAACGTATTGACGGAGAGGAAAGGAGAAAAGTCTTGCAAGAAGAAACTAAACAGCATCAAATGAGAGCTCAATATCAAGATCAATTAGCAAGAAAGCGATACGATGACCAACTGATACAACAACAGAGAATGAACGATGAAAATTTGAAGAGGCAGGAAGAATCAGTGGCGAAACAAGAAGCAATGAGGAAAGCCACGATAGAACATGAAATGGAATTGAGACACAGAAATGAAATGAAAAAGTTGGAAGCAGAAGTTAAAGCGAAAGCAAAAATAGACAGAGAAAATCAAGATCTGAATATAGAGCAAATTAGGGTGAAAGCGTCCGAAAAACGAGTAACAGTTTTGGAGTCGATAAAGTGAGTAGAAAAACAATTTGGGCGTCGATACGATAGCGGAATTGAATGTATCGAATGACATTTATCGAACATTAATTTCAGAACCGCTGGATCGGTATTAGGCACTGGGCTCACAGCTTTTCTTCAAGACTGGGATAAAGTTATCGCTGCAGCTGGAGGCTTGTCTTTGTTAGCTTTCGGAGTATATACCGCGAAAGGTACAACGGGTGTCACTGCGCGATACATAGAATCGCGGCTAGGGAAACCGTCTCTCGTTCGAGAAACTTCTAGATTTACAATATTGGATACGTTACGGCATCCTATCCAAGCGACAAAGAAATTAAAAAGTAAGCAGACCGATGCTTTATCCGGTGTTGTTTTAGCACCAAAGCTCGAAGAAAGATTACGCGACATCGCGATAGCTACAAAGAATACGAAACAAAATCGCGGGATGTATAGAAATATATTGATGCATGGCCCTCCTGGGACGGGTAAAACAATGTTCGCAAAGAAGTTAGCGGAACACTCGGGTATGGATTACGCGATTGTGACTGGTGGTGATTTGGCACCATTGGGTCGAGATGGTGTTACTGCTATTCATAAAGTTTTCGACTGGGCAGCAACATCCAGGAAAGGTCTGTTGCTTTTCATCGACGAGGCGGATGCCTTTTTAAGGAAGCGATCGAGTGAGCATATTTCAGAAGATCTGAGAGCGATGTTAAATGCGTTCCTCTACAGAACTGGTGAGCAGAGCAACAAATTCATGTTGATTCTCGCCTCAAACACACCAGAACAATTCGATTGGGCTGTAAACGATAGATTAGATGAAATGGTAGAGTTTCATTTACCAGGTCGGGCAGAACGTGAACGTTTAGTTCGACTTTATTTTGACAAATTCGTTCTTCAACCAGCGATCGAGGGCAATAAAAGATTAAAAGTTGCACAATTTGATTATAACGCGCTTTGTAGTAAAGTAGCCGAAATAACCGAAGGAATGTCTGGAAGGGAACTAGCGAAATTAGGTGTCACCTGGCAAGCAGCAGCTTATGCTTCCGAAGATGGTGTATTAACGGAACAAATGGTTATAGATAAGTGCAATGAGGCTGTTAAGCAACACAAGCAAAAGGTGATAAATAATTACTTTTTACCGTTCTTACTTTTTTATAATGTTGAGAAATTATTTATAATATTTGTTTCTATTTGGGATTTGTATAGGTTCAGTGGCAGAGCGAACAAGAGAAGCAAGAGGCGAAATCGATTTACGCCACTGAAAAAGAAATAGAGATTCAGCCTATAAAATCCAAGACAGCAGACGAATCATCGTCGGACACAACTTCCATAGCGGCGGCTTAATTAATTACCGTAATTGCACAAAATGTTGCAAGCGATATTTTATTAAGAAATCAATTATTAGTAAATGACAGTGGAGAAAGTGTAAATGATACTGTTACGAGAGGACGGAATTAATACTGACTTTTTGTTTTCTATACAAAATATACGTGTATAAATATTTTAAGGTAGAAGTATATTTGTTGTAAATTCCTAGCTGGATTAAACATTACATACACATATATATATATATATATGTGTGTGTGCGTGTATTTGTATATAAGAGTGCTTGACTGACAGCGAATATGCTCTCAAACGTACTTCAGTTACAATTTAATGGAGACAGAAGTCTTACAAATCCTAAAAAATTCACAAAAATCATTAAAATTCAAATATGTACTTTAATATTTTACTACCAGTTACGTTCTTTTTTTTTCGTTTATTTCTAAGTTCTAAGTAAGTTTCTTGAACTTTTCTGTATATTGTCAATTTCGTATTAGCGAATTTATCGGATTAAATAAATAGTAATTGAAAATTCTCAGGAATCCAGACTAGTAGGTTTTAAATTGATAAGAAATTGTGGAAAATAGGATGCAGATTTAATCGATATCATTCAACAGTACTGCTAAAGAGTTCATGTACATGTAATATCCTATCTTATAAGATTCTGTATCTAAATTACAATAATCATAGATATATACACATTAAAATAATTCGATATAAACGTTTAAGGAACGTTCAAATGTACTCTTATAATTATTAATAAATATTTAATATCTTTTTATTGTTGTTTATTTGAAAAATTAAATTCTTTTAAATTAATTATTTATTGTTTGAAAAATAAATGTTCTTTATTACCAACATCGATATTATTATAAAAGAAATTACAAGCACTAAAATATAAATTCGATTTGAAAAGAAATATTAATTAACATGTTAACACGAGATGTAGCATTTGTAATAAAATGAATAGTAAGGAAAGAGTAAGATAGTGCTAAAAATATAAACTTTTACGTATCAAGCTAAAAATATTATTTTTTCATTAGAAGTATTATTTATTCAAAAAATGCCGCCGGTGAGATTAAAATTAAACTGATACTGTTATATTTAACTTAATAAACATATGCAGCATTTGCATACTTAACTCTTTCTGTAAATTATATATGCTCCCATCTACAAGTTACTTGACACTTGCATACTTTGAACAAAATTAATGTATTATACATATTCTTGACATAACGTAATTTTAACATTTGATATAAATGCTAACTTTATTTTATAATATAGGTCATAGTATAAAATCATGCATATCTTGATTTAATTGAGTAACTTATGGATAAACAATAAGTATCGATACAGAAAGTCGTATTTACATTCAAACAATCACTGTGGTCAAAATAAGCAAGTGTCCGGTGGCTTATGGACAGGAGTGCATGTAATTCTTTCGAACTCTATGTAGCATACAATCGTGCTTAGTACATTTACATTTATCACGCTATATGAATCGAGCTACGCGAATTTTACGAGTTCATTGAAACAAAAGACACGCAAGTCTTCAAATATACATATACTCTCTCAACTACTTTTCTCAGCATTCAATTATTTTTACCCTCTCTACGTAAATACTGACAAAGAAACGAATTTAAAATATATTTAATTTAGAAGAAAAAAAAGAAAGAATGAAAGACAAAGAGAATGATATAGAAAAAGCATATTGTTTTAATTTTATTTCAATAGGATTGTAAAATCAGTCTCTTATTAAGAAGACATTTTGTAAAAAGGCACGCACGTACATTTCAGGTTCCCTTTGGTATTTAGTTGGTCTTTACCACTATTTGTGTACAAAATCAATTAGTTAGAATAATTACGTTCAATCCCTAACGCGAAGCCCCCAAATACTTGTTCTTCGGACACCAATGGTTGGTCTTGCAACGGAACTGTATAGGAACTTATTAAGTTGAGTTTCGCCACAGGTAACTTGTAATGATTTCAGTACTGGTTCGGGTATTACACCAAAAACATCCAAATATAACAAAGATGGCATATACGCCAATGTTACGTACGTCGACGGAGGTATACCATAACAACGACTTAGCGACAGATGCTCTAATTTTGACAAATCAAGTAAATTACGGACAGTATTCATTGTAAGCATAGTACAATCGCTCAAATCTAATTCTACCATATCCGGGCAACTTTTCACTAAATCCTTAACATCTGAAACAAGGAAAGAAAAAAAGAAAAATACTGCCATTCGAACTAGCATGACGGATAACTAGATTTAACATAAATTTTCGAAACCACGAAACTTGTACTTACTATCATCTGTAATGGTTTTTCTGCACCCAGCTATATTTAAACGCGTAACGGATGAAGGTAACGATTTACAAAGTAATGCCATAGTATCGGTATCTAAACCACACCAAGCCATATTGACAGCATTGAGACTGAAAATATTAAAATAACACGTTAGAAAACATTTCTCCCTAACCAACGACACTATTGCAAATAATTTTCTTACTTCGTAAGCTTCATCAAATCCTTGATGCATTCAATATCCATACCCTCGCACATCGTTAAATTTAAAATTTCTAAGTCATTATTATCACTGATAGCTTTGCAACATGATCTATTCACTGTACACTTTTCTAGAGATAATTTTTTAAGGTATTTACACTTAGATAATAACATAGCCAATCCATCTGGAGAAATCACTGCCATCGAAAGGTCAAAGTACTGCAGTTTACTAATATAACCGTCGGTAAGAACTTCACTGTTTTCAAGAAATACAGGATCTGCAATTTCTGCTTGTGCCAGTCGAAGTATTTGAACACCTCGTGGCAATATGTGACCCAATGTACCTTCGTTCAAGACTTTACTGCCTAAATCCAACCTGCTCCATAATGCTTCATCTCGCGCTATTTGACACCATCGTTTACAGACCAACATGGAACGTACCTAACAAAAAAAGAAAAAAGAAAAAAAGAAAAAAAGAAAAGAAGACAAAAAGTAGAAAAAGAAGAAAGGCGAACAGGACATAAAATATTTGATGTTACTCTTATTATTACTTTTTCTATTAATTATCTGTGTTATTTATTTCTATTAATTTGTAATCTTACCAGACATTTCTTTGGAAGCCATTTTAATATCATTAAAATCATCTCATCGGATAATTTGTTAAACTTATCTTCACCAAGGATCGAAGGTTTTCTTTTTCTCCTATATAGATAGAACTGTTCGAGACTACTTTCTCTGGTTGAAACATTAAGATTATCTTTAGAAAAAGTTTCCTTCGTATCGACAAAATTATCTATTTCCACCCTAGAAGAATAACCAGATTCGTTTCCAATCGTTGAATATGTCGCAAATTCATCCAGTTCGTACGGATTGGGATCCAATCTTCGAGTAGCTTCCAAACTTTTGAAAAATACGTTAAGAAATGTATGAACATGTAAGCAAAAGAAAAGAATTTTGACGATAAAAATGATATGATGAATATGATGATAAAAAGAAGATGAAAAGAATTTTTACAGTTAAAATACAAACCTGTCTATACTAGTGGTATCCAAGCTGGAACCTCTATAAATGCACTCTTGACTTTGAGAGTCATTCATATTTTTACATTGTCCATTGTTATCCAAGATAGTAGGCGAGATTGTTTGTTCCAAAGAATGAGACTTTCTTGTACTTTCACAATTCGATGCTCCATCTTCTAACATACTGACACCCATTTCTTCTAAGATTTCAGGTTCTACAAGGCTGGTATCACCAGAACACGACCATTTTGCGCTATGCTTGGTGGTACTGTTCAAACTGTCGTTTAAGTTGTTATTACAGCTGTCATCTAAGCGTAGTTGTTTGCTGTCAAATATATTTGCATATACAAAATTAATTACCAACAAGCTTACATTTGCATAATATGATCAGATAAAAAAGAGAGTAGAAAAAAGGCAACCTGTTCCACCAGGGTGAAGGAGGTGATCCTTTGGACATAGTAATTTCTAAGTCTTCCTTAAGACTAGTATGTTTTGTCACGCAGAAGTGCACAGATTGCGTAGAAACCTACAGATTGGCATATAGGAAAAATTATGTTTGACTTAGATCATAAATAGCTTGATGTTTATAGGTCAAAGATCATTGTCAAACTGAACATAAACAGAATTTCTAATTACAAATACATAAAACAAGAAAAACAGGTAATCCGTATCGACTAAAATGTACACCAAGTGACTTTTAGTAAACATTTGTATTTGGATCTAATTAGTATAAATAATCATACGAGTAACTGAACGTGATTAACATAACTCATAGTTAGTGAAAATCACTAAAGGAAAGCAATTTGGAAGATATGGTGCGGTAAAAATGTTATTAGCATAGCTCTTAACTGGATATTTTTAACGAAATATTTGTGAATTTGATAATTTAGTAATTATACTTATAAATCAAAGAACACGATCTTCCCACTATCTTACTAAAAAAAAAAAAAACTACAAAATCATCGAAATATAGAAGAAATTACGTTGATTCAACTAATTCCCCAACCGACAGTTTATTAATTTTCCGAATGAAGAGAAAAAATAGTTTTTTGTGGTAGAGCAACCACTCGAAGAACGTAATTGGGAAAAAAGTGATTTCAATATTTTTCGTTGGTGAATTTGTCATTTATAAACTTGGAGTATCTGGAGTGACAAACAAACCATGAACAAATCTTGATCTTTTCGATGAAAAGAATGAAAATTTGTTATATCTTGCGAATAGATTTCGTAAGAATTATTCACTGGGAAAGGTTCTTAACCTTACCTGTGGGCGCGAAATATGCACCTGCATCACCCTGAGCAACAGGTAAGAGAGATATATACGTAAACTGGGTAGTTTTATTTTGAAGGCGGGGAATTGCAGTAAAATGAGATTACCTTTCGGGAGGCGAGGATTCTTTGGAATTTTCGAGACAGTGTTCGTCGAACCTCGTGTGCTCCGCCACGACGGAATTCATTTTTGGCGGAATCCGGACACCGTATCCTTTTTTCAATCGCCACTGGTTCCACGCATGGAAAACAATCGTTAACGACGAATCCCAATTGCTCGAATCACTCGCGACCATTCGATCTATTCCCTTGGTCTCCTATCCGATTGGTTGACGGTTCAATGATCTCGAGACGGCGGGAATTTGAGAGATCGATCGCGCGCGCCAACTGTTTAACATTACTTACCTAAACTCCGATCGGCGCTGCTGTGCTTTTTCCGATTGTTATTGTTTTAAAAGTTCGCGTAACCGCAACTGCTTCCTTAGAAACTTCAATCCGGTTGATTTCAAGCGCGAAAATTTATTTTCATTTCTACTCACCCTGTTTCCATTTATTACAACTTGTTTCGTTTACGTTTTAATAAATGTACGTGCGTATAGCTTTTAACTAAAAAATCTAATAAATAAACAAAGGAATTTGTCTCTGGCAATATCTATATGCATACGTCACTACTTCGGCTCTCTTAATTTTCGATCTTCCGTTTCTCGTTTCGGACGTTTGTCCCGAAATTGACTAAATCGGACGTTTTTCTATGGAAGTCGAATCGAGATCGAAGCGGCTGTAATCCTCGTTCGTGCCACCAGCCGTACCTGAAATCGGAATCATTGATCGATTGAAATAAAATAAAGAGAAACGAAGGAAGAAGAGCCTTGTATCGTTTTCATAAGATTTAAATTACGCATTGCTGCTAAGTAAAACTGGTGGGCGTTTACTACAGTTGTCACTATTTTCCTGCTCTTCCGTAGTTTTCTCGAATGTATCAATCGTGTTGAAATTGTTCGCTCTGTTTTCGTATTCCTTCGAGTAAAATTTTGGTGTGATCGATTCTCCTGTAATTGTAACACACTATCTAATCGATATCATAGTTTTTATAAAAATAAACAATAATTTCTTAGTAAATAGATTTTCTTTGTTCCACGCGATAAGAAAGCGATACGTTTTAAAAATCGTATAAACTATACCGTTGATTTTCGATACACGTATGTTCGATTTGCCAATTAATCTATCTTTGGAAAAGCATAATTTAAAAGGTGGTAGTTTTTCTAATTGTTTGGCCACCGCGGATGAGTTGGAACCGTGAGAACTCGTTCGATCCATAGTTGTCCTCCTCGACCTAAGGCGACGACGACAGTTACGTTTATCGAGGATCAGCTGTATCGTGTTAACCATCTATACGATGAAGGAGATGAAGGTGGGGATATATTTGGTCGATACACCCCGGAGCAATAATACATGTACATTGTAAATGAAAGGAAAGAGGAATAGGGGTTGTTTCACCTGACCGCGTCTTGCGTTGCCTGCGTTCACATTCGTTTACATACATCGTAATTTATTTTCCTTGAATTCCCACATCAGTCAGTTATTTTCGACTCGAGTCACTTCAAGGTCATTGGACATGGGGCGCGGTACATGTTTGGATACGTTTTAACGATAAACAAAATTTCACAGGATCTGATCGCGAGATAATCATTCTGACAATCGAATTTCCACCTTGAAATATCATAACATTTTTCCGAAACATTTTTGTGTATCACGACAAATAAAAGAATATTCAAGCACGGAAGAGTTAGGTGGGCACTCTGTATATTAAGCTATGCAATTTCCAATTTTGTAATGCAAAATGAACTTTTTCTTTTGCAGTTCAGTTGCATGTACTTCGAATTCAAATTCAGCACACTTTGATCAAAATTGGGGAATGAAAGCTTGACTTACAATCGAGTTTGAAGTAAATTGCAACGAATTAATCGAGAGAATTGTACCGTGTGTCTTTTGTTCGACGACGATCGTGCGAACAAATCGAGGAAAGTGTTCTTCTAGCAAGCAAGAATGCTCTCGTAGACGAAGCTAAAAGGGTATAGCTATTAAACCGAAATGAGAAATGCTGTTTATCGATTAAATGCTATTTTATTAGGAAGCTTACAAAGTTTTCATAAGACTTGCTCGCTTTTACACGGAAAAAACAATGTCGTTTGCAACTCGGACAATTCCAAGTTTCGAAAATGTTTCTCTTCCTCTCTTTCTCTCCCTCATTCTTTCTTTCGCTACCCTCTCTCGTATCTTGAGTTTGAATCGCAGCCAAAATTACTTTGTAAGAGATTGTGTATTTTGGAAACTGTTTCTATTCGTACGATCGAAAAAACCATACATACATATGTATAGAGTTAGCAATAATGCTTCACACTTACAATATTTTCGTATGGTAAAATGCATTCTCTCCATTCTTACCATCATCGTTATCCGTTTTCTCTTTCTCGGTTGGTTGGTCGGTTTCCGTGCGAAAGAGAACCCTAAAATTTCGCGTCTTTTTTTTGTTCACAGAAAAAAAGGACGAGCATCGTCCACACGGTCAGTCACCTTTGACTCGATATAGCTGATAGATCATGCAAAAATCGACGAAGGAGAGCAACGACGGGCTTCTTCGCGAATATTCGTAAAACGTAAAGGAATCGCAACACGCGCCTTCAGGCTTGCGAATAGCTAAAATAAGAAGCAGACGAGGAAAAAAAGAAAAAGAAAAGGAACTGACGTTCGTTTAAAAAGCATTCGTAATATTCTTTATTCGTCTTTTAAGGGCCTTTTTTCTTTTTTCCTCTCTCTCCCCATCCCCCTCTCCTCTTTTTATACTGCTCTTTCGTATAATATAAAAAAGAACGTAACAAAAATGCTGCTTCTTCCGGGACATACAACAGCATGCAACGCGCTTCTTTTCTCTTTCGTTTCTTTCGTTTCTTTCGTTTAAGATTAGGAACCGTAGTTCGAAGATGCAAGGGCGGTAATGCGAAAGAAGATAGAGATCCGCTGTGTATTACCAGGAAGAAACTAGTAACGTTGCGCACCTCATGCGTAAACTGTGTTAGCATACCATTGGGATATGTTCGCAATACTCTTTCACCGGTTCTTATAATTTTCGATCGATCGAAGATCGTCAACGTACCGATTATGCGATCTATTAGAAAGTTACGCGTCGTTTAAATTTTAAGCGGGAATCGTTCAACTTCGACAATGGGGAATATACATGCGATATCTTAGTTTTTTCTTTATTGGAATAGTATACGCTTTAAATCGCTATATATCACGCTGTTCGATGAACGAGTAAACGAAACTACGCTACAGATGCGTTTGCGTATACATCGTTCTAACACAAATACGAAACAATTATAAGACGCGCGAGTTTTTTTCACGATGATCGAAGAAAGACTCATCGGTAGAGTAGCGCAGCAATCTTACCTTAATTGTTAATTTTACAAACCTATACAAAGGTATTTACCATTATCGCTTATAGGCTAAATATTGTTTTATCATTCGAGCTTGCAATGATACATACGCATACGCGTTAACGCACATACAAATATATACATACATTCGTACACGCATACAAAATACACAAAATACACATGCTTTCCAGCATGTACACTTTCGCACTCAGACGCAAATTCATTCGCGCTATTACAATTTATAGATCTATATTATTATGGCCATGGATCCTTAGTGTGATTCGTTTGCTTTCCTTACGTAAGACTTGTCGCTGCTCGTCCTTTACTCTACGTACTCTCTTCTTGCATTTCAACGTTTCTTCGAGAAATTATCCTTATATATCGCTAACATACTGATGATACACATTTGTTACGACGCACGCTCGATCGATATCGAGATTTTATCGAGATTTTATCGAGATTTTATCGAGATTTTATCGAGATGATGGCAATTTGAGGGAACGCTAATCGAACGAAATACCTTGTAAGAAGAACATGAAAAATGGATATCGGTCGAGAATGCATTCAGTTTTCATGAAAATATTGTATTACCAAGGCTGTGATTGGTTACGCCATACGTTATTGTAATCGAACAAACGAAACGAGTAACAAAAATGCATCGCTAGAAAACCGAAAAAGAAAGATGCGTAGATGCTAGGGAAAGGCGTCCCATTGATAACACGTGACAATAATGCTGACAAATGTGTAACTTGAAAGATACGATCCCGGCGCAAATGGTAACGTATTCTTCCAGTCGTCGTTTCCAATTTGCGAAAAAATTTAGGAAAAAAAAAAAAATAAGAAAAAAAGAAGAAAAGGCCAAGAACTCGCGGTATATTCGTGTTTCTTAATGGCTTTCGTGATTAAGAAGTCACGGATCTAATTAATATGTAATGCTTTTTTTCGTCTCTACGTCGTAAGCACATGCAACAATGATGCATGCGTATTCTTACATAATTTTTCTCACTACGAGAAATCGCTAACGCTACTTCCGCTAACAAATGTTCTCATTTTCAAGGGAATTGCCAATTTTCCTTGGAACTTGAAACATTTGGATGGACGAATTCGATGGTGTAACCGTAACTAAACATTTGTTAACGATCGCTTATACGCATTAGTCTCTGTGGCGTCTGCTGTCCATGGGATTCGAATAAAGTATGTATGTATGTATGTATGATGTATATGGCAAAATGATATCTGCTATAGGAGAGAGTTCTGTTTTACGATCCTCCGTCCTTGGGAGGAAAGTCTAATAATGTTGTGCTGTCGAGCGACTTGCGTCGACTATTAGTCTCTTTATATGCAATGTAATGTAACTGTAATGTCACTGGACAAAGCTTTTCAGGGTTAATTCGTAAGAAGAAAGAATTATTAACGATTAATTTTCAACCCTGGATGGACTTCGATAGCACACAGACATTATAAGCTCTTTCTCCTCGTACTTTTCTTCAAACACGATAGTGTGTATGTAATTTGTAACAAATTCGCGCAGCTCATCGTAACTGCCCTGAGTAAAGAGTCTCCCACCGTACAACACGACTCTATGCAACTATGATACGTAAAATAAATCGTAGTCGAAATTAGCTGTTTGTTTGCCGTTCGAAGAAAAATCTTTGCAATTTTTCGTCGTTTCGTTCTTTTCTATTATTTGCTTACGATATCGATCCGAAAGAACACGCAAAATTTTATCCATCAAAATGTTCCTTAGACGATACGAAAGTTCTGCCAAACTTGACGATACACGACAATGGAAATTTGCAGAGTCACGAGCTTCTCTGCATCGTATACCGCGAGGTAATGGGAATGCAAGATATTTACACATTTTACGACGATGAAAATCATCAGACGGAACAAAAGAGATCGATCTTAATCGACAGAGTAAACGCGTAGTAGGTGGGCAGACGATAGAACGACGCGTTTCGTCGATAAAACTCTACAAAAATACGTAACAGTAATTAATTGGATGTGATATTCGTGTAATCTATGTTCTTCGAGAAAGTTTGTCCGTTAACGTGCGTACGCACGCGCGCGTTATCGGATATGACTCTCTCTCCCCCTCCATCCCTCTCTTTCTCTCATATTCCTGCTCTCTTTACGCTCGGTATACTCTTAATCACTTACGACGCAGGTACAATTTTTTTTCTGTATTTTTTTTTCTTTTTTTTCCTTTTTGTTAAACTAATCTTTTAATCTTCCTTACGTACTAACTTTCTATGAAGGTGCTTAAGAGAAATTTACAAAAAAATGGCCGTAGTTGTCGTCCCCTTTTTCCCTTCGATACAAATGCGCGTTGTTCCTTCCTTGGAATTTGCTTTACAGTATTTTCGAACTTACACTCTACTACATTCTTAGAAACCTACTGAGCAAACTATTTGTAACATGCACCAAGATGCGCGGTTTACTCTTCTTTCCGCTGTTTTTTTCGTCCGAAGATGCGTTGCTGTTGCTGCTTCTCATAATTCTCGAACAAGTTATCGTTAGAAAAGAAAAGACAAATGTAACTCGGAGATATTTTGTCGAATAATAGCTATAGTTGCAAAAATATTTAAGGCCGAACTAAAAAGAAATCGATTTAATAAAAAGAAACGAAGCAAATATACGCGTATACGATCGGTAAAAATATTCATCAAAATTATTTATTCTTTTCTTTTGCGCCTCTGTATATCCGTTTCGATAAATTGATATGAACGAGCATATACTATGTACTTTTCTAGATATCATATAATAGCGAAAGTACGCAAACGTTGTATATCTAATGTGACTTATTTTTTATATTATGCTATATGTTTTCTCATCTAATAGATACCGACGGTGGAATGTACATATTACAAATTTGTTTATTTTTTTACGTTCCTTTAACGTTCTGTACTAAATGTAATCTGAACCGAAATTAAAACATGCGCGACCGTTCAATTTTTCATATGTACATATGTATGTGTATCGAATCTGTGCTGCCTCTGCTTATGTTCGTTCATATTATTTAACGAATGTATCGTATAAAACAACATTCAACAAATAAACCGAACGAATAGCTTGTATCGATTTTAAATATTTGTAGCGCAAAGTCGAGGAGTATATTCGACGGACTCGTCGAAACGAAACAAGAGCACAAAAGAAAAATGGAGAAAAACATAAAGTTAAAGATATATTCGGACACGATATTTCTCTGAATTCTGTAGGAAATATAGAAATTCAGGAAAAATTATTGTCTGATCGAGTGTTGTGTATTGTTGGCGTCGCGCGTGGTTAATCGTGTATCGGAGCGAACACACGTCGTTTTATGTCGTCGCTCCGTGTCTTGCTGTATATAGATATGCTCGTGTGTGTAATAACCGTGAATCGTTGCGCGAATCATTGTAATGCAGCTCTTGTTATTTTTAATGAAACACAACCTTCGCTTAGCCAATCGTAATGTCGCGCTTATGTCATTGTTACTCTTTGTCAATTAACGATAGATAACATTACTGTACACGCTTTCTTCGTATCCGTATATTTACGCGACGAACGTGTAAACACGAATTATACGCGCTACCAAGAAAGGAGACTATCGTTTCGTTCGCAAGAACGTCACCTTTCAGCCACTAACGGACGCGATAACTGTTTTGTTGGTCTGACGTTCGAGTAGATCCGAACGAGCTTTTAAACGGCGCTGCATCAAACGACTCTCGCTCGGCGGTGACAAACCAAACAGCCGAGGGACCGACGAGTCCTTGCCGATCAATCGATTCTTTCCAATGGTTTTCGAATCGGTCAGATCGGTACTCGAACGAATCGAACAAGATTTCAAACGCGAGTTTACATCAAATTCGTTCGAGGAATGAGTCGCGCAAACCTTACTGTGTTCGGATAATTCGCTGTTCGAGTCGGACATGTGCCCGTAAGGATGGTTATCTTCGTCCGTCGACGAAGTGGATAATCTCGGTTCCCTCTTCTCCGCCAAGTCCTCCAAATTTACGGAAAAATGTTGAAGTACCACGCGATTCACAGCCATCGCCGATTCAGCAAACGCTGACAGTTCTCTGGCAGAATTATTCCTTCTGTAAAGAGAAACGTATCTGTTATTTTTATTTCTTACGTTTATTACGCATATCGCCGCATTACGTCGATCAAACTAATTCGTGACCGAAATTTCTTATGTCAATCGATGCAACCAGCTAAAATCGATCGATTGGTAAATGCCAAGAATAACGAACCTGATAATACTAGGAGTAACGAGAGACTTCTCTGGATTTTCGACGGAGCTTGGACCAGGATTGATCCACGGATGTTTCAGAATACTCTCGGCGCTGAGCCTTTGATGGGCTTCTTTGACCAGCAAGCCCCTGATCAAATCTTTCGCATCTTCCGAAATACACCTCCATTCGTTGTCCGGAAATTCGTACCTGCCTTCTTGAATACTGCTAAATAAAAGTTGTTGGCAAGCCTCGCAATTTTCTCCTCTCTCCCAACCACAATCGGATCCGCAATTCCCATAAAAAGGTGGATAACCACAGAGAAGTATATACATGATCACGCCAAGGCTCCAGAGATCGCAACGCTTATCGTAATAATTCGCTTCCCCGGTGAAAGCTCCCACAACTTCTGGAGCCATGAAGTCGGCGCTGCCGACTGGCGTTAAGAGTTGCGGTGTAGCCACAGGACTTGACAACGAATTGTTGAACTTGATACCCGAACCAAGATCGAAGTCGCATAGTTTGATCGGTATGAGCTTATCCGGATAAACGCACAAGATGTTTTCGGGTTTCAGATCCCTATGGGCGATACCTGATAGAAGCAAAGATAACACGTTCGTTAAGAGGATAAACTTGGAGGTGTTGCACGTGGATGATACCGTAATAACATACCGAATATGTACTTAATTAAAACGATTCGAATAAAAGTGGCTTTTTTACCTTTCTTGTGAAGGAAATTTAACGCGCTTGCGATTTCTTGAATTATTTGACTGGCTTCCCGTTCACTGAAATGAACTCTTTCTTGTATCCGACTCAACAGTTGACCACCGTTTATTTTCTCGAATACCAGATAAAACTTTACTTCGTCTTCGAAAAATTCGATCAATTGGATGATATTTGGATGGCCTTGGCAATGATGGAACGTTTCGACTTCCTTAAACACACGTGCTCGTGCGTGACCGGGAATTTTGTCGATAATTTTAACGGCATACTCCAGATCGGTATACAGCGACCTACAAGTTTGAACTGAGGCGTAAGCACCTTCTCCAAGAACTTCGCCGGTTAATTTGTATAGTTCTGAAACAAACACGCAGTCGTATTTTAATACTAATTTTATAACTGCAGTAATATAACAATAATATAACGGAATAATATAACGATAGAATAATTTTGAGAACGGAGAGGAATATAGAAAGGAATATAATATAAAAGGGGAGAAGGGGTTGAACACGAATAGGGATGGAGAGGGAAAGGAGAGGCTGGATCAGAGAGAGAATGGGAGGAGAGAGAGAGAGAGAGAGAGAGAGAGAGACAGACCGACAGACAGACAGACAGATAGACAGAGAGACAGAGAGAGAGAAGCGAGGTTGACCAAAAATAATCGCATCGCGTCACGTACGCCAAAACGAACCGAGTTTCGTAGTAAGCACAACATCCTTTATTATCGCGTTTATCGGAGTAACTCGTACTTTATTCAAAGCAAAAATCGGTAGTACAGCTTTCGGAAAATCGCCAATTTAAAATTCGCGTAAAATTCGGATCGCGTCCATTCTTCTCTATTTATTCTATAGTGTAATTAATGTTACGATGCGCTATCCCCAGCTCCGCCTATAGCGCGATCAATCGTCTAATCGGAAGAGTATCAACGAATGAAGAAAGCATCGTTAAGAATTTCGTACGCGTATAACTAATATATTTTTTCTGTTTCTTTGCCGACCGAGAACTTTCAACCTCTGTTAGAACTGTTGCCTGACCCTCTCGTCGCGTGTACGCTTGCTTCTTGCTTCCCCAATAACGCAATAACACGATGCTTCCGTTTCATTCTGTACGGCTGCTCGTTCGTTTGTTCATTCCCTAGTTTCAACGCTACAACGTTACGTCGCTTCAACGTATCGTAAGCTGCTATCAACTCTCTTTTTACCTTTCCTTTTCTGTTCCCTAATCAACAGTTTTGCTCTCCCCTTAGCTCCCACCTATTCGCCTCTCGCGCCAAAGATACGATTCTCTCTCTGCTTGGCAACACCGCCGACGAATACCTAGCAACCAGAAGCCGATAATACATTTTCATGCCTCTACCGTCTCTCCGCTGCCTTTCCTTCTCCCCCTCTATGTTAAATTGCACCGCAGCACCGATTCTATTGTACACATACACATGGCATATATTCTTCGATCCGACGTCGTGATGCATAATCTATGCGTCTAATTTCATTCTCATAACATACACTTAACGCGTAACGTGTATTTACCAGTGATATTTTTATGATCCTTGTTAACTAGTTTCGTATTACGAGTAAATATAATCGACGATACAGGGAAACAGAATATTTTCTAAGTTTGACAATTTTTGCATATTTAACGAGTACGCGTTAGAACACACGCGACCGTTGATTATACAAGGATTTGATCTGTGTACGATAACGAACAAGGGACCGCCTGAAACAAGAAGCTGCGAGTTACGAGACTCCGCCGACTGGGAAATATCAACAAAGCAAGAGTATCTAGGAACAAGTAACATAGAGATATCAAATTTTTACACGAATGAAAAATCCAAGTATTTCATAGGAAGAAAATTATTTCGTAACGATAGAATTGAGAAAACTACAAAAGAATTACGGTTAGAAAATGCGCGTGTACATGGGAGTAAACGGTGAAAAGAATGGGGGGAAAGGATAATAAAGATTAGAAAGAGAAGGTAGAAATCTGAAGAGGCGATGGAGGAGCTTGAGACTCGAGACGTATCGACGAGTTAACCCGTGGCCCAGATTTGAACGTATACGGGTGCGCTCATGCCTAGTTTACTACTAGCAGTACGAAACGGAAGCTTCTCGAACACTGAAATTCTACTACTCTACCGCACTGTACAAAATCGATCGTATAGTGTGACATAATAGTTTCAACTGATCAACTCGGCTAATAATTTTGTCAAAAAGAGGTTGTATTCGTTTAATCCTATTCTAGAATACGCGATAGACGAACTGAAAACCGAATTAAACGACGCATCATCCAAATAATCGAATGAAATAAATACGCTTCGCTATTCGCGTTTTAGTTTGTCCGATATTCCGTTTTTCGCGACTATTCTCCGATCTTAAACCGTCCGAAGCCTTATGTCGCTTCTACCATCGACGTTTAAGATTCGATTTAATTTTTGCTTACAAGGTACTTAGTAGCCCTTGCGAGTAGTCCCGAAATTACATCACAATTCAATTTAAGCATACATTGATCCTCTATTAGGCGTTGTCTTTTTTTTTTTTTTTAGATAAGAATCGCAGCGTACTCTTTATAGGCAACAAAATGGTCTAAATAAGCTTATTATAAACGTCAATCTTTACTACGAATAAATCAACTTTTTCTGTACTTCCCAGGCGCCCGGGCGTGCTTTACTTTCTATTCTCTCGAGGTAACTACTTTTCATATTGTAACAAGCAATGTATTTGCTATAGGGAGTACGATCCGTATATGTATATATATTATTGTTATTATTATTATTATTATTATTATTATTACGAGGAAAAAATTAAGATTGCGCGCATAATCGATTGATATACTGGTTTCGTATGAATTTCTCAAAGATTCTAAATTTGTATAGGATAACATACCTGCGGTGAGGTGAGTCATCGAGGCACGAGTGACAGAGATCGTTAACTCAAACACGTGTCCGCAGTCAAACAACGAATTGACTGTTTACTATTATCTACATTTCTACCTTGCCGTAACCTACCCTGACCGATTTTTGCACTTTCTTTTTCTCTTTATTTTTTTTCTTTTCTTCCCGTTGATTTTCGTACTATACGATAAGATAATGGTATATGTTAGGAAAATCTTTGTATCGTACGTATATCGACCCGAGTAGCTGAATTAAAACTATGTACGTGCGATTTTTGATAGGTATGTATATTGAATCTCCAGATCGATCAATGAAAAATTCTTCAAAGATATATACCTTTATAAGAAGAATTATTCTATGCATAAACTATGCATACGTTGTCGTTGACCGAACAACGCGCACGCCATTCGATTAAATCGGCCGGGAAGAAATTCCTCGCTGCTCGGCCAACGACACAAGAGAACAGTACGGAATATTCAGTTACCCATCCACCATTATCGATATTTATCGCAGCGCAAGAGTCTACAAGTTCTTTCGTTCTCTCGCAGTGTGTCACGAATCTTTCCGTAAATCAAACTTTACCTTGGAAGCAAGCTGACATCAAAGACGATCCAGAGCGTTTCTTCTTGCGTCTTTTGCGCCTAGCTTCCTCTTGTCGAGCTTGCACGGCGCTCATTGATTCTCCTGCGGTATTCACAGTCTCTCTACAACTTGCTTCTTCTAAAACAAAAAAATTGTTAATATATATATGCTCGATTAATCGCAAGATATTCTAAGATTAAACATATATAAACGTATATGGTTAAACGTTCATACGTGAATGTATATATAGTATCACAATATCGTAATATAGTAATAACTAAATTATAGTATAGATATAAATAATACGGAAATTATGTGGGAAAACGAATAGAAAGTGTTTCTGTTCTGCGTTCGTTATTCTCGTTTTATAGAGTACATGAAAAAACATAATCGCAAAATTAAACGATGTATATCTGTTCGAAATGAACTATGTGTAAATTGTTATAAACTTAGAAACGAGTCGTGTCTCGTGTTTTATAGCTACAGTAAGAATTATCAGGGACAAACGAAGGATAATAAAGACAGAAAGAAAATCTGATCGAGAGTATAGAAAAGTAATATGTAGAAAAATTTTGCAAAGTCCCGATATACGGTAATAAGCGGGAATTAGGCAACTCTTGTTTATCCGTGAAAACAATTTCTCTAGAATCCACCGACCAAGTACATACATACACATGTATGTACATAGATACACACACGTGACAATCCCACGCGTTCATTAACGCTATATCACATACCATACAACTCGTTTATATATATACTCGTGAACATATTTACGTGCACGCAAATATTAAAAATCTTAAAAAATTACAAGTTCGCAAACACCAGGACATTACGCATTTCGCTTGATACATATTAATGATATTTATCTTACCAACCATGGATGATTACATTATTTGATTCATTTCTATAACTGGACGTATAAATACATTGTTACGGTCGAGTTAACACGACTTCTATCTACCGCCATACACTCTCTTGAAGCGAAGCCGTGATATACACGTGTAAGCGAAGAAGGCACAACGAATTTTGTAAATAATCCGACACGTTGAAACACGAAGCTAGTTTTTAATTTTTTTTTCTTTTCTTTTTTTTATATATACGGCTTTCTGATTTAGGTGCACAACAAGTTAGCGAGAACTATGTAAAACTATCTGTCGTTACGCTAGAAAAACTACGATTAATAATTAAGTGGGGCGACGAAAAGTAGCATAAAAGATGTTTGAAAGGTCAAGATCAAGTTGACTAGACGCACGAAGCTGTTCGATGAAATATGAGGAATCGCGCGTGATCACCATATTTGCCGACAACGCGTGGGTCATCGAGTAACACCGCGTGTGCAAATATGTATTTAATGAATCGATATAGAGCGACGATCTTTGTTTCAATTTCAAACTCACAGCTCGAATTTAAACGATCCGATCGACGCGTGTTTGAATCTGTCACGAACAAAAGTTGCGTTTATTAGTGGAAAGATCCGACCGAAAGATACATTTACTTTCAATACGCGATCAAATAAAGGTTATCGCATTCTGATATCATAGATCTTCTTGGTACGAAGATAATTGCAATCTCAACGCGCCGAAAAACGATTTAGCCCCGGTCAAATACAATACGACATCGTAGTTAATCGCTAATGCCGAACCGAATCGCAATTTAGCCAAGAGCGAATGTGTATACTCTTCTGTTGCCTGTATCAACGATGCGATGCAACGCAATGAAACTCGATGCAAGAAGAAACACAACCAAGCACGGCAAGTACTAAGAGCTCAGGGTTCAATGACTGGCACAGAAAAGGAACGCCGCCATCTTACGCGAGATATACACACGTACGATAATGTTGCTGTATCCGCAAAACCAGCGACAATCGTCGATTCGATATAAAAAACCTAAACGTAAACCCAACTACATACATATGTATATATAGAGAATGGGGCATATTTTCTTTCTCGTCTATGAATTTTCACGAAGAAAGAAAAGAAAAGTGGAAAACAGAAAAAACGCCTTCTTTACGAAACGAGTTTCACTCTTGAACGTTTGTCTAATGTCATTTCACGCTTGACAATGTGTACGATATACACGAACACTGTATTCTAACTTTAACGCATTTCAAGGTTAAAAATTCTCCGAGGCTTGCTTTTCAATGGGTCTAGCAACAAGCAATTCTCTTTTCGTTTGCAGTAATATGTTTGGTCTTTTCTGCGAAAATTTTCAAAATGACGAATTATGACGTACGCGATATCAATCGGAAAATTTTTACCTTATGATCGCGTTTCGCATTTCGAAAGAAACCATTCTCTTTAAAACGAAGAGTATTTACTAACGAATTTGACATGCGCGCGAGCATCTCTCCTCTCCTCTCTCCCTCTCTATCCTTCCATTCTTTGTTTGGGTTACCCTTACCGACACCCTTTGCGATTTGCGTCCAACTCGAACGCGAACCGACTAACCCACTTCGACCCTCAAAAATAATTCAACGATGCACGTTACATCGTCTTAGCGTCGTGTCGCGCTTTGATCCGGCTATGTTTCGTTTTCTTTCATAATACGTATCAACTTTTGCACCTTTCGCTGCACTTTGTCTCGCTGTACATTTTCGTTTCTTATTCCTTCTTACCAATATTGCAAAATTACATATTTTTATACGTTATAATTTGTTCGATATCGACGTACGAGAAACAATTTTACAATCGAAACATCGAAACAAACGATTGAAACGATAAAAAAAATACGAACAAAGTACACATAAACGAAATGCTAAAAATAACCTATTACACGCGTCAAAATAACAAGATAAAATTCGTATGATATAGTGCGATCGATGTGTGTATATGTGTCCATTTTGATACTTTCAAGTTTTTCAAGCGACATTTTAGGCGTAGACATATACATGCATATATAAAGTGGTTAAAAGAAGAGTTAGAACGGTACAGTTAAGAAAAACCCTAGAAATATAAAATTATATTTGATATAAATTAAGTAAGATTCGGCGGAAACGTCGATTCGATTACTATAAATGTTTCACGACGGCTCGAATTATATGGTGGTAACTCAGTTATACAAAAATGTACGATATTGCAAGCCCTAACCTACAAGATTCTAAACATGCAATAGAGATCTTATTTCGAATTTTAATTTTCGTGATGAACAAATTTAAAACGAATTTAAACGAAAGATTCTGAGATAGAAAACGCGAAGCGAAAAACACTGGGAACACGGCGCACCGGCTTCGAGAAAGTTCTTCCGTCAACCGACTTCCATTGTCACGTCCCGCGTTTCTCTTCGCCGATTGATCTTGAAAATTTCTATCACCTCGCGCGATTGCTTATTTTACGCGTTTTCTTTCCTTTTTATCCGAATCATACAGTCAATTAATTTAACAGTTAACGATCGAAATAATATTTTTCTTTTTCTTCGACCAATGACAAAGCTCGCACGAAACGAAAACGATATCGCGATGAAATTTATTCGAAATAAAGTGTCACGTATCGAAAAATACAAAGGAAAAGTTTGATATAAACGGATGTTCATCCATTTCGTCGCATTGTTTTGGTTGGTTCATGACATTACCAGCAATGTTAAAATTGCCTCGAATGATTTTGGTATGTCATATCGTTGCGATCGCGTTTGGTTCAAAGTAAATATTTGGACAAGGAAAGATATTCTTACCTCTTGTAACTTCTTGACTCCCGTCTCCTTGTTCTTCCAAGATTTTCTCCACCATTTTTGCACGCAACAATTCCACTTAGTTTCGATGGTTTAATATCCCAAATAAAAGGGTAAAAGAGGAAAATGTAGTTCTCGTTCGAAACAAAACTCTGTTTTGCCCCTTTTTCCTCTTCTTCGAGTCTCCTTTCTGTTTCGTCTAGCGAACAGCGATGAAACTCTTTCTCCTCCTATCTCTTAATCCGATATCAATAATTATAAAAAAGAGTCAGTCGTATATACAAAAACATGTAAATCCACTAAGTTACTGATATAATCTTCTTTCCCACTATTTCAATTTCCCAAACCACTGTACGTTGCTTTCTTCGATCCTTTCTCTTCTCCCTTTACCGACGTACTCCCGTTTTTGCTTTCGCTCTCTATCTCGCTCGTTCTCGATGTTTCTGCCTCGGGATAATTCGATGTATATCAGCGTCGGTATCACAGATATAAATAAATATATAAAGACTATTTCTCTGTTTCTGTAGTTCTCGCGACTTACAGAAGCGACAAACGATGCTACACTACTATGGTAGATGATACGCGTCGTAGCTGAATCGTTTGAATAAATACTATCACAGACTTAAACACTGCGCGCCTTTTCTTCACTTTTTTCTATTTCTTTCACTTCACTGCCTTCAGAACTATAGGTATACGAATAAATAGTTCTATCGTCTTGCCTATCACTTTCGAACAGATGAGACGTTTTGTCAACGGACGAATCTTCTCCGCTGGAACCAAAATTTCTGCACGACTCCTCCTCGATTTCTTCTCAATTTCTCCTCTAACGTCGAAACTTCGGCTACTTCTGTACCCTTGAGTCTCCTGATCGTACTCTGAGACCTTTCGTCGGATAAACTAACTTTTTCCGTATACGAAAATCTCCGCGGATGGTCGCTGTTCCGTTGTCGGTATCGCACAGCCTTTCGCACGTAGCGGTAGCCCGGCTCGGAAGCGCATTAAAAATCCTTCAGCTAACACATCGAGTCTTTCCTTTCACCTTCCCTCACTGCTCGGCAGTTCGTTTCCGACTGAACTTCGCAAGATGGCCACTTCGCTTACTAACAGCCTGCCCCCTCTCCAACCTCACTGCTCTCGTCCCGGCACTCCCGGCAGCATCGATGTCCACTGCTCCCACCACGCTCGTGCCGTTCCCTCTAACCTCCCCACTCCCGTGTCGTTTTACTTCTACGTAGGATCGGGCGACTTCGTCGACGCCCTCTGAAACGACGCCGCGTCACGTAGCTCTTAGTCAGGGGTTCTCGAACGCTCCGAAGTACACTCACGTAATTACCGAATCGTATGATGCAATCTTTACGTGATTTACAATTCTATTTTCAATGAATTCATCGTCGATATTTTATAATTGAATACTTACTCGACATTTGCTTGTTACCATGCAAATGTCGCTTAGAAAGCTATTCTATGAATTAGGAATCGCGATTGAAAGTAGTCGTGACTAATTTAATAGTCAGGCCAACAATAGAAAAATTAAACGTTAAAAACACTTTCTTCCTCTCTTTCACTTTTTCACATTGCTTTTTCCTCTATTTCCTTGAATAATAAATCGCTGAAGAACCCTTGAGAATCACTGATCGCTCTCGTATGTTTGGAATCGACTTGCCGGTAATAACGCCATTTCATACGTAATATTCATCGTAAACGTTTTTACTAAGAGCTTGGACACAACGCATTTTTCGAGCGAATAGCGAGATTATATTCTCGAAATGTTTACGATCTAGCATCATTTATACCCACGTTATATCGGATGAGTGCCAGATAAACGCAGGGGAACGGGAAATATCGGCGGGTGATTGCGACGTGCGTTGTTTTAGGAAGAGATGCGCGCGCACAATGGCCACGTATAACATCACGCGACATAGAAAAAGAATCGAGAGAGACGACCGAGAGAGAATACGTACTCGGTTGGTTCTAGCGCGTGTGTGTGTGTGTGTGTTGTTGTTGTTGTGTGTGTGTGCGCGCGCTCGCGCAAGGGAGCGTCACGGTGAGATGAAACACCAGGAAAGAAGACAAAGAAGGGAGTATGTATGCAGAAGAGAAACGGAAAGAGATAAACGCAACATTGTCGAGTTCCATAGTAGTGAAACACACGCACACACATAAGAGCGCTTATAATTTTTACGCTACGCGCAGACTCGTGTTGACTATCGAAGTTTGTTTTCAATCAGCCAGCATCGCGTGAACTTGTTGCCCGTATAATTGGTATAGTATTGCGTGGTAAGTTTATTAGCCGTATTCTTATATTACGTAAGGTTATAAGGTCGATTGTTTACCTGGCTGTTTCAGCCACCGTTTTACATAATTGACCAACTCCAATATTGTCTTGCAAAAAGTTTAACGAACAAAAGCACATCATTGCTGCATCATCCACATCATAGATGCGATAATCAACCAGATATCGATCACATATCACATCGAATTAACAAATCGAGAAAAATGCTCGATCGCAGAAGGAGGATATATACTTTATGTACATCCTTGTACAGTGCGTTCGTATAAACGAATAGAAAATTGCGCTTTTGGCTCTTTATACAATTTTATAAACAATCGCTTGAAAACAACGTTTAATTTAAACATCGAGGAGATTTAATCGTTGATCAGAATCAACAAATATTATTACGCAGAAATGGAATGCATCGAACGAGCTTTTACGCTCTTACCCTGAGAACGCGACGGATTTCTTGTCTAAACAGAAAATTTAAAGGACAATGTTGTTCGGTCGCACAAAATAACAGCATAAACCGGTTTCTGCACGTGGCAAGAGTTGCTCGATCGTGCCCGGTGAACCGGCAGTACCCGACTACAATACCTACCACCATGCTATCGATTTACGTAACTTTCTTCCACTTTTGACACACATTCCTCCCTAAGTTATTTTGAAGTTCCAGGATGACGAAACGGAAGATAAGGCCAAATGTGCGTTTGACTAGGTGGCTAAGATGGGTTTAAGGGTTGCGGGTTACGTAAGTATTATGTATGTAACTTGAAGAGGCTTCGTAGCTATGAATCAACCAGGTGCAACGTAAGCAGGTGCCAAAGGGCAAGGCGTAATCGCGGAGAAACCGAGGGTGAAAAAAGATAACGAAAGTTGAATTTTCAAAATGGTCACTGCTAGTTCATAATCGTTTTTCGAGTTGTCTCGATTCTGTCACGTGATGTTGACTGTTTTAGATAGAATCGATCGTTTAAATCGATTTGGAATACGTGTATTTGTAACGGCGACGTTAAGAAGCTCGATTACTACGACTCATCGAACAATATTTGTAAAACCACGGAGATGACCACGAAACTGTATATTGATACAAATTTATGTAATTACTTCAGGTTCTATGCATGACACGATGAAATCATCGAGAATTCATTAATTTTAACGAGTTATTATCGTTCTTCGGTAACCAGTGACTCATCCAAACGGATTATCGCTGTACTCTATCTCTTATCGTTTAACGAAGCGAGAGAAATGCGCGTTGCAAATTTGTATTGCGAACTCACCTAGTGCCGCCTTTCAAAAATAAACGAAATTTTGGTTAAATTATAGCGATATTTGGTTCTTGAATAGCTAATCTAATTGGTTAATGGTTAATGACATTTAGTTTAGCAGTGAGAGAAGAAACCAGATAACGCGAACGATGTGTATATTACATATCCCGTGTTAATAAAGTTAAAGCAAAACAATTACGGTGTGATACAAGACGCGCATATTATGTTATGTAATTTGACAAACCGGTCGCTCAGCACGAATTGTCCATCTCTCTAAAACTTTTATTCGTAAACTTATGGATGTCTTTGAATGAAAGTATGGCTTATTTAGATGCAGTATCGGAGCTAACGGTTAAGAAATAGATTGTAATGATTCGAATTTGAATATTTTGGCGTCTAATATAACCTTTAATTAGTCGAGCAACAACAACGACAACAGGTTATGAAAACCGTTAAGATAGCTTAAACGATTAATAATACCGAAATAGATAAATTTTCAGAGTTTTACGTAATATAAATCGTTCGATAAAACAATCGAGATTAATACGCGGAAAAAAAGAAGTTGGTAAATACGATAGAGAGCAGAAAAGAGCCGAATTTGTTCGAATTACGCTACTTGTTTAAAAGATAGTGAAAAGTAATTGTGATTTTTTTGTTTCGAGTGTTCACACATGGCTATGCGAATTCGCGATTGGAAATATTTTCGAAAAGAAATTGCCGTCGAATAAATTTTCTCAAGAGCTAATTGATCCATAAGCAACGAAGATAAAAGGAGCGAGAACGATATACTCGACGAGCGTCGATTGTCGAGCGTCGAGCGTGAAGGCATGATTTCACGCAGCACGTGGATCCACGATTCAGGGTCAAATAATAGGACGCGCAGAAGTTCTTTGTCCAAGGTCTTCCGCATGATATTCAGTTTTGGTTGACTGTTTTATCACGCGTAAATTTTACACAACACCTTTGACGTTTTGTATTTTTTGTTTGAATGGCAAACTTCTTTATGCTTGCGAAGCGATAAATTACATACAGACTTATATCTACCTATATCTGCTTTCAAAAAGAGAGCGATGCGTCGTAGGTATATGTTTGGTTATTACAACTAATCTAATTCTATTCGATATCATAGTAAAAAAATATCTTGTTACAATGCACAAAAATTCGCAACTCCTTTTTCCTTTCAAAATTTGATCCTTTTGATTCGCCACGACAATGTATATAGGCGCAATATTCGCACACTTCGTATCGTATAAATACATAAATGTACGTATATGTAATCCATTACTTGTTATCTTAAGATCAAAGGGACGTTGATAGATATTATCGAATTGTATGGAGAGGTATGGAGAGCGAGAGAAAGAGAGAATGAGCACCTTGAATAGTGCAGAGTATAGAACGTATAAAGCAGTATTATCAAGAGAGACCGAGAGAGAGAGAAAAGTATCGGTAATATTTCCAAAAAGATTTTTATTTGTAATTCTATCGTTATGTATTGCTTAAAGTTCACACGAAATCTAGTAGATCCTTACGACGACGTAATAAGACGCGGAAATAATTTAGTTCGTTCGTGACCGCATCGGTACAGTTAGTAGCAGAATTAATTGCAAATCCACGTTTTCGCCAGCGAATTAATCAAGGTATTAGTTTATAAATTAAGTCGACATTTATAGACACTTAATAAACTGTAAATTAAGGAGAGGATACGAGACAATTTCGATGATCAACGGTGTACGGTGTGAAAAACGGACGAAACCATCCTCCGTGAAAAATGCCAACGAACTTGCTTGACCCGGGAGGAAGACCAGTGGCCTGATCTGGTATCGATCACACATCAAATTTCCTACGATTCCGCGTTTCGTGGCATTACCGTATTCCATGTTTTTCGCCGATCGGATCGCTAAAACATCAAACCGGTCTACGATTTCTACGATCTACCCTGTGTACGCTCTGTAGCCTTGACTTTATTGTAGCAAACGCGTACAGATTTACATACATATGTGCCTAAGTACCTTTATTATGACTGTGTCGCGATATCGCTATCTCTTTTGCCCCTTTTCTTTTTGTAACAACGACATGCAAATTATATTCATCGGCGAAACTCGTCGCGCGTATCCGTCTCTTCTTCTTTTATCTTATTTCCCAGAAACGAACATCCTTATAGGTTCGCCTTTATAAGGATCCTTTTTGCGGTGATACGTAACGTACGTACTACTTAGGTATGTACATGCGATCAATGATGTCTCGTGATGGTTCAACGCACACCAAATAAAAATATGGAAAATAGTAAATATTTTCTGCGGAACGAGCGCGATAAGATTAAGCAAGTGGTATTTCTTTCTCGCTTGTCGCGATGTACAAAGCGCGATTTCTTGCGATAAAGACAAGCTGTTGAACAAGCGAATCGAAGGCAAACTCGTGAATAGATAATGAGAATATTAGGAATGAATTAAATACCCGAATAGAAATACAACGAGGTTCGAATTGTCGGATAATTTTCGAAGATCAGAGACATTTTCGACGAATATATAATCGTATTACGTGTAATCTGACCTATTACGAGAAACGAGATAACGAGTTCGTCTCGCGTGATATATCGGTACACTTGTCTGCGCGACATTGCCCAGAAACGTTTTTACAAAACAAATTTCCGAGGGAGGGAAGAGGATAACGTTGCTTGCGCGTTGGCATTCTTACGATAACATTACACGATTTTGCACGATATCGATAACGTCGTTATTGATAAGCTTGTCAATAAACAATAAATTCTGTAATCTGTAATTCTGTAATCTACAGCCTCGTGCAAGTTTACGAAATTGTTGCCTAAGCGTCCTACGTAATCGAAAATTATTTCGAATAATACACCATAAATTGAAAAGACGTTTAGACGTTTCGTCCGATATCTCTCTAGACCTTGATACGATTCGCTTTCCGGTGGAATCATTCGATAGGACTCGAGTCTCGAAACGATCGAAAGAATCGAATCGGTACGATCGCTTGTAACCGAGCAGGCAGACTCAGAAATGCTGAATATTGCTGAATTTTATATTATATTATACTACGTACCTTCCGGACGGTCGAACGAGTTGCAACGAACACACCAGTTAGCATAAACGATATTTATAACGATACGTTAGACACGGGACTCGTGCCAGACGCGTAAAAGCGATTTGGACCCGTTTTATTCTCGAAAACGAGTATCTCTCGCGCATCGTCGAAAATTTGCTCGCGATTTGCACACCTGTTTGACTTTCCATGTCAAAACGTGAATAAATACGAAGAAACGCGGGTGATCTTGTTAAAAAGCTATATCCTCTCGGATTTTAAAATATGTTCTAAAGCTCGACATCCTGAACAGCTTTTTCCTATATGTATATATATAACAAGCGGTCGGCCTTATTTATTTTTGAATTATACACGAAAATATCCCGCCGCATGTTTTTAGTTTTCAAGTCGAGTTGGATTAGTAGTATCAGAGAGAAAATTACCTCTCTGGTAGTACATGGTAGTAAGGGCCGCCGCATTTAACCGCATTTAGCCGGGTATCATTTAACTCTTAATTAAGAATGAATCGTCACTCTGTTTCAATCGTAATACAGCCAAGTTCGTTGCTTTTTGAAGAAAACGAATTGTTTACGAGTTTCAAATTTCCTGTGTCAAGTGATTCCAAACACTAACGTTTTTTTCTTTTCCACGTGTTTTTTATCTCTTTTCAACGTAGCAAGATTCAATGAATCATTACTCAAATACTCCATCGTACTATGTGCTACTAATGCAACGTAGCTTGAAAGGCCGAGCGACGATATATTTTTACACGTAACTGGAAAACTAAGGCCGATCGTCGATTATACGTGCTGGAAAAGGTTGTTCGGAATGTTGAGCTTTACGACGTATTTGAAAATCATCGAAATCGGAGAGAAAGTAGGTTTTAGACAAGTTCACCGAATCATGATTTCGCGCGTTCGATATACGTGTACGTGATAAAAAAAATGTCATCAGAAAGGAAAAGAGAAGCGCGTTCTTTTGCTGTACGGATATCTTCTGTATCGTTACATATACTCTAATCTTGCTTTTTCGTTCTTTGGTGTAGATATATAATAGTCGTTTATTCCCCCGTTATTTATTCCATTCTAGTGAATAGCAATGTCGAAATATTGGCACCGAATAAACGCGAACCAAGTATTTTGCGTGAATTTGAAATTAATGAAATGAAATTAATCAGAGATATTTTTCTGTCAGTACGGACGATGGACGGAAACTGCGGTACAGATTGATCGACGTTTGCAACTTGTCGTTCTTCGTACACCACAAATACATAAGTACATACATTGTATAATCGGACGCCAAACGCGTAGTTGCATAGTTATTTTCTGACATTAGCGTGGACAAGCAAATATACGGTGTGAGTGAGCGATAGAAGACAATGTACAATGCAGTTGTACAATGCGCAACTGGAAAAAATGTTAGCGTAAGGAATGCGGGCCTGATCGGTTATTTCGTACAGAGCCAACAAAATTATAACGATAAGCACCGCGCGTTAGCCGAAACTATCATATATGTATGTATATAAACAAAAGAATATAGCGACGCGTGACGGCGAACGATAGGAAACACATATCTACATGTGTAAGCATAAGACGCGAAGAAACTGATCCACACAGAAAATTAGCTCGAACGCGAGTAAATCGGAGCAGCCTCGATTCGATACGATCAGACACGACGACGAAATTTAAAATAAGCGCTTATTCAAACTATTGGTGTACGTCGTTGTGTTCGCAATAGAGCAGTAGCATTCATATTGCACGCGCGGTGAGATGATCGCTATAATCAAAGACGGATTTCGATGGTGTTTAAGATGTAAGCGAGATAACTCGGCATCGAGTGTCGGTATCTATATTATTGAAACTAGGACATACGATTAACAAAATATACTCGCAAAATGAAGAACGATTCATTGGAAAGGAACGTAGATACTGGATCGTATTCGAAAGCTTTCAGAATATATATTCCACCCTGCGTGATTAATCCTGGATACGTAACGCAGCTTACGGCATTTCGAAGCGATTTCTTTGTCGACGACCGATTCACATTGATCTCAAGGGAAGAAGAGTAGAAAAGCGAAAAGCTTAAGCGACCTTAACCCAAACCGAGCATGTAAGAAATATCGTGTTTCCGCTTGTTACGTATTTACATTTCTTCTCCAATCGACCACGTTGTTTCTCATTCCATTCTGACTCCTCGCTCGCTATCGAGTCGTATTTACGGTTGAAATTCATACCTTCTTGGAAGGATTTATAGAGGCGGAGTTTTAACGAACGCAGACTATTATTACAAGGCCCGTTCACGTAACCTCGAAGAACACACAAATTCGTGCTATCGAACTGTCCCGTTTTGTGACCAAGTTTTCAGGAAAGAAGAAGAAAGAAAATACAATATCGTATAAAATAAATCATTTTTAAGCGACTTAAACTCAATTGTAAACGGTATTGTTCAAAATGTGAATCAGACAGAAAATATTGTATGGCTACGTGTACCGTCCCGTAACGGTACTTTTGCCAAAACCATTTTCCAATAGAAAATTATCGAGGATATACATAAGTAAATACATATTTTCTTATATTTTCTTTTGTGTGTGTGTGGGCGTGCGTGCGTGTATATTATATGTGTGTTTTATGTATATATCTATTGAAAAGGGATTTCTATTGGAAAATGGTTTTGGCAAAAGTATCGTTACGAGACGGTATGACGTAAGCATACAATATTTTCTGTCGGATTTACATTTCGAACATTACCGTTTACAATTGAATTTAAGCCGCTCAAAACAGTACTTTTATTTCTTTTTATCTTAAAGTACTTTTCAAAATTCTTGGAAAATATTTATCATAATATACATATGTTGGGAAAAACCCCAATACTCTAGTCCGGACTTTTACTATACCGGACTTTTACTATACTTTACAATAAAAATAAGGAATAGTTTTAACGTTCCAATCTGATTTTATGACGATGGGTTCGTGTACCTGATAGAGGTATGAAATGATTGTATGGCTCTCCTTAACAACAAAGATTAATCCGAGAAGCGGGGACAGGAGTATATTTGGATTAAGAGTTAGAGTTCGAGTTAGTTAGTTTGTTAGTGAGTGGTTGGACGAATTGCCGATTGGGTTATCGGGAAATTACCCGAATCGAGTAGCACGTTGATACTTGTCCTCCCGTGGACCGTGGATTCGTTATCGAACCTGAATTCGTCGTCACCATCATCTCGACCATCCTATTGTCTCATCCTATTACCCATAGCCTCTTGTAGTGTCATATATAATAAACAAATTCGTAATGTTCAGGATTTCGGGTGAACCTCTGTTTATGTCTCGGACAGCGCATCTGCCCTTTTCCAAGTTGAAAACATTACAATGCGGGTCTCATAAAGAGGTTAACTAACACCCTAAGCCCTCGATGAGTCAACTCCAAAGTAAACAACTGATACCAATCAGAAACGCCGGAGGATATGCGCTCACAATGGTGAGAAGGAAATCCCAGGACGGAGAGCTAGTACGTAGGGAGGCTTCCTCGGAGATTCTTAAACCAGTCTTCAAACAGTCTTCACCAACACAGTCATACTCTCCGTGTTATACTAAACAGTGCAAATGAATCACTAAACAGAACATTACTCATAATATATAATAAAACATAACCGATGCCATTTGCATAATCTTAATTCTCGCGCGTATGCAATAAATCTAATTAGAAATCGAACTATGTTACGAGATGCGGGAAACTAGGCTAGAAATAGAATGATGTAGAAACAACGTTGGAGGTATAAAAGTCACACTAAATTAAGTTAAATGACCGAGGACCCGAGCGGAATGAAACGTTAATAACGCGTCTTCGTCAAGGTTTTCAGTTAGGAGGTTATTGGCTCGGCAGCATAACGATCACGCCGTTGATAGATCAAGAAGCGAAACTACGTCGTTACCAGTATTCGAGTGATCTCGTATCTGTGTACGCAAGCGAATCCATACGTCGTAGGTTCCAACTAGCTTATTGCATCACTCGCGCTTATACGCGTGGCCATGACCGTCCAGAGATAGAATCGTTTCGACCTTTCGGCTTTGGACCGAATTCGCCCAAATAAATGATTGTTTCTCGATAGATGCAACATGGAATACTAAATAATCGACTCGATGACAATAATTTGCTATCGCAACGCGTAAGATTGGGAAATGCAAATAGATTCGTTTATCCAGAGGTCAGAGTGTCAAAGTTAAATGCACGGTACAAGGACTCGTTCGATTACAGATTTCTGACGATGGAACGCGTCGCATTGATTGACAGTTATACTCTCTTTCTAAACGTACATCGATCTCTGTATGGATTTAGATTTTTGTTCAACGATATCCTTTCGTCGTTAACCGCGACTTTGTTCAACTCAGTAAGACTATCGTACCGAGCAGTTTTGAGAAAGTCTATTTTCGACGTTTGAAATATCCAAGAACGACGGACGACGTTTATCCAATCGGCACACTCGGAGTGTTGTTCGTTGGGACAAATACATACTTAGAAATTAAAATAATTCTATAAAAATACGCTTAATCGGTGACAACGAGCTGCTGAGCAATATTTCGGAACTTTTACGCCGTTTGAAAATTGCTTACGATTAGCATTGGTATAAATCATTGATTTAGTAGCTTGAATCTTTTTGGGATATTCTGATCATCGGTAATATTTGCTTTGTTGACACATAATTCTTGTCGCTCTCCTTGTTCTCTGTTCTTCCTCT